AAGTTATAGGAAATTGTCTCATCTTTTCAAGAAAAAAATGGAGGTCATTTAGACTTCTAGAACTCCAGATATGAGCCAAACATTGAATAGTATTCGGGCTGCAAGATAAATTCGGACTTTTTTATTGTTACTACAATTTGAACTTAAAAATAGCCTTTTTAAATCTTGGGCTCCTATGAAAGTTGTAGGCCTATGTCTTATCTTTCTATCCATATAAAGTAGACCTAAATTTGGGATCTACAACTCCAGATATGACCCAATTACCGAATGGTGTTCCGGTTTGGACTGCACCAGCATCTCTTTTCTAACTTTGGCCATCTCTTTGTCCTTTCAATTTCAGTTCTTAAACTCATCAATTAATCCTTTCATTTATGTGATAGGCCTGCATTTAAAATGAACATTTACCATTAATTAAAGGTATCTTATATTATTACATATGTTATTATAAAACATGCTTTAGTTAAGGAGTTATTAATACTTCAAGTGCAAAATGATAATATAAAACCTTGATAAAAATACACTTTTAAGTACTAATCAACTTGCTTAGATAGAAAAACACAAAGATTTTTTATGGTGGTGAAAAATGCGATAATTGTTCATAGTAGTCTTATTAGAATGGGTGACCTGACTATAGAGAAAAATACAATAAATTTTCAAAATGATCTCATTGTAATGGGTGCCCTGCCTAGAGAGAAAAATACAAAGATTTTTCAAAATAATCTTATTGTAATGGGTGACCTATCCAAGTGAAAAACTCAATACAAAGATTTTTTTTCATAAATTTGAATTGATGGATGAAATTTGAAACGAATAAAACTTTTACAAAATGGCTAAAGAAAAAAAATTAAAAATCTAAAAAATAAGGATCAACATAAAAAAAAAAAAGAAGAAGAAGAAGTTATATTAACTTGGAATTTATGGATGAAATTGAAAACAAATATAATTTCTATAAAAAGATCAAGAATAAAAATTAGAAATTAAAAGAATAAAGGTTGAAGTTGAAATACTAACAACAAAGATGACTAAGTTGTACTTTTTAGAGGATAAGAGAGAAAAGAAAAGAGAAGAAAAGACCCACCAGTAACAAATCGGAACACTATAGCCGACACATGCCACTCCATCAGTAAGAAGACGTGGCAACGCTTCTAATGAAATGGCAGAAGGGTACTTTTGAAGATAGAAATGCACCACACATGTCGATCAAATGGCTTAGTTGTCTCTCACGTGCCAGGGAGTGCGCTTCACACACCTAACCTTTTTGTTTATTTATTTCGTTAAATATCAAATTGCCTTTAGGTCAAATTAATAATAATAAAAAAATTTATTGTGAAAAGACCAAAAATTCTATTGACTCTATTTTAAAATTTTTTATTTTAAGAGCATTTTCATTGTTTTACTTTGCATTTTAGTTATTTATTGCTTTTTATTTGTAATAAAATAGCAAATTGTCTCTTAGCTGATATTATATTTATAAAAAAAACCATTATAAAAATACAAAAATATCATTTAACCCTTGTTTTAAGTTTTTTCTTTTAATTATATTTTGTTCATTTCACTATGTAGTTAAGATAAGAAAAAACTTATTTTTCTGTAATTAATTTAATAATAATAAATGGGTTTTATAAAAAGAATTTAATATCTTTGATAACTAGTGTTAAAATTTTCAAGTAAATAGACAAAATCATCATTAACTATTCCAGTGAAGTGTTTTTATGTGTCAACATACAGTATTTTTCCAATCCCTTATAACTTCATTTAATAAGAGGGGTCAAATGACCCTCTGATTTCCTTAAAAATAATAAAAAGAGAGAGGGGTATATATGGAAAAGAATTTTCAATTCATGATTTTTTGAACTGCTATAACAAGAACGATACTTCTGAAAAAAGTTGCAAAACGAGAGTGCATTGGGGTTAGTTTGGTGATTTTCAAATGCTAAAAAGAAATAAAAATGAAGCAGTGTGTTAAGTTTGGTGACATATTATATTATGTCTCTAAAATATCGTTCCTCGAACTCACTTATTACACTGCAATCAACAGTGTGTTCTGTAACATGGAGAAGAAAAAAATTACTCAATTTGTTTTACGAAAATGGATAAAGAAACATGAAAAGAGAGTTTGGGTTTAGATGTTATAAATTAGAAATTAAAAAAAAAAAAGAGAAAAACTTTGTAGTTTGTCAAGATTTTAGATGTTTTTAAATTTCCCCGCATTTGAAAAACACGTTTCTACATATATATATATTGTGTTTGTATGTGATTAGATGCGTTTTAAAAATACATTTAATATTTAAAAAACATTAAATTGATTATACCAACTCTAGTATCAAGGACAAAACACATATTTAATTTTGAAGATAATCTAATTTTTTTATGTCCCTTGCTAAAGTTTCTATCAAAATTCCGGTAGAACATCCCTTGTAATAGAATTTGTCTTGTTATTAGCTTAAATCTGTTTTACTTTTATTCACATTTTCAATTCCTTTATAATCAATATTAATAAATTGCCATTAATTTCAATCCATCCAATTAATTATATAACATTTTAATTCTAAGGTTGGAAGCAATGATTGAGGATAGAGGTTTTTAAATCTGTGCGAGAAAGTAAAAGAGAAGAAGTTGGAGAGAAGGCTGGTTACAGGATTTGATGATGGGAGCATGCTGTAATCTGTAGAACATGATTGAATTTCATAAAATTTATTGTCATATTCTTTCATTGTATACACGTTCTGGGACTTTATTATTAGGAATTATAATAATAAAATACTATAAAGATGATGTTAAAATAATATAAGATGCTCTTACAACAAACAAACCATTTTATTGAAGATTAACTTGTTTAATTAGCACGATTGCATATGCTGGTTATTTGGTACAATCTTCATGACAAACCTTAGACGTATATATATCAGTATAGCATAAACAACAGAATATTTCGTCTGCTGATCAACCAATTTGTGGAATATCTTTCACAATTCCACATTCATCAACCCAAACTCGGACCCTGTCCTCACGGAAATCCATAGTCACCATCATTCCTTCCTTCACAATCACAGCACCAACCTTGGGATTCTCTCTTACGATGATTTTTGCTGCCACTTCTCCTTTTATTCCCACTAGCTCCGGCCACGAACGCTTTCCCGCATCTAAGGTTACCAAGAATTATAGTTAAATGTATCAAGAAGAATGGTTAAATTAAATGCATAGCCACATATATATATATAAACTCATTGGCATGGTTCTCATGCACTGTTGTATACATAAATAAGCACATTACAATAAAATCAATCGCTTACCAGAGTAATCATCTGTCATCTTTCCTTTCTCTTGCGATGTGATGGATTAAGGGAAGGAGATGGAACTATATATAGGGGAGGCGAGGATAGTTTTCAGCTTTGAGAGCTTTTATCTATCCATTTGTCTGTTTGACAATGAAAATTGTCAATAGTCAACTTGTTGAATGCTAGCCAATTGCCAGCCACTATGTTTGCTTACACGTAAGGTCCACTGTTGAACTTATTTTTCTGAAATTAATTTAAGCAATCCATCGGAACCCTATAGAGTGATGTCTACGACGTTGGAATGAATAGTTGATGACGACGAGGATGAGGATGAGGACGAGGACGAGGAGGAGGAGGAAGAGGGCGGTCTATCCTTTAATATATAACAGTTAAAATGTGGACATAGTATGTAAATGCTCCACCCCTCTAAAAAAATTAAAAAGATATTATAATGATATATATATTTTTGAGATAAGGATGCAATAGAATACTTCTTCTGCGTTGAACTACAAGCATCAAGGTAGAATATGTGTAGCTAAAAACTTGATACAGAAAAATTTAAATATTAATTTACCATAAATATATACTATCAGCCTGTGATGGAATTAATATATCATAAACAGGCTATAATATTTTTTTTAAACATAAGAAAGATTCAAATTATTTTTATGAATATATATTTGGAAAATTTTTTAGAATTTAACTATATGCATGAAAAAAAGATTTTTTTTTTCAAAATTCTTTTAAATTTTTTTAAAATATTTCTAACAAAATTATGTATTTTAATATTAGATTTATATTTTACTGTATAAATAAACAACCTGATATTATATAAAATTAATAGAAATTTTTTTAAGGAAATCATAATTGTTTTGAATGGATTTATAATTTATTTTTTTTTACATAATATATAATATTATAATATACATTATTATTATTATATTATAATTAAATATAATGGCTGGGCTGTCATCAGTCCAGAATATTTGGGCTCGTTTTTTTATGGTGGGCTGGCCCGCATGGGTTAAGCCCACCAAAAACTTAGACCTTGGCTACTGCATGTAGAATTTATGCATGTCGTGGCCGGGGTGGGGTGTTTGGGTGAGAAATAGATGTGGTTGTCTTGCCTGTACGTGGGAGAAGAAAGACTGGAGGCATTCCTAGTACGATGGCTAGAGGTAGATCTTTAACGGTGGCTAGAGGTGATAGCATTCCTAGTACGATGGCTAGAGGTAGATCTTTAACGGTGGCTAGAGGTGATAGCATTCCTAGTACGATGGCTAGAGGTAGATCTTTAACGGTGGCTAGAGGTGATGGTATCACCGGAGGTGGAGAAAAGGAGTGGGGATGGATGCCATGAGTGCTGAGTTTCTGGCTGCTAGGAAAACTATAAGTGGAGAACAACATGGTGAAGTTGGTGGAGAAATTTATCTGCCAGCAAAATACATCAGTTCCTCTGAGAGATGAAGGTAAGCTTTTGTGCAAATACTAGAAAAGGCATCAAAGTATATGAAGTGCTTCTTGTTAATACTGTAACCAACCCTCTAACCATGGAGAAATGACTCCCCTTAGGCAAATGCTGGCAATAAATGCTGAGTATGTGGCCAACTTATGATCTAAGTGCACTTTCCATTTGCAGTAAATGGACATGAATGCTACGAATCGAAGGGCTTTGGTTGCACCAAATAAATTGTGTTCGAATATTGTTCATATTTGTGCTGCTAATGCACAATAGACTGAATTTCAGTATACTCTGCTTTAGATGCATTCTTCTTCTTTCCGTACCATACCCCTTCGGCATGATAATATAATTTATTTCTTTTATTTTGACCTAAGTTATATATCACATGACTTTTATGAGATTGTCTAGAAAAGGGTTCTCGAACAACTGCGTATTAAGATGCAAAATATGATAATATAACTCTTACAAGAAAATATAATGTATTAAGGCTTAACTAGGTGCAATTATGAATTATCTTTTCCTCTCCTTTCTAAACCTTATGGTTCAAGATCTTCCCCCCTTCCTCTCCACCTTCTTCAAACCTTATGTGATATATGAGGTATATATACTTAACATTACTGATTTAATTGTATTTTAATTGAAGTTTTAATTATTTCCTGCTAAAATTTTAATGTGTTCACGACAAGCCATTCATGTGAAGGAAGTGAGCATGTTTATTAGATGGAAAATCCTTTTGTTTTAGTCATGGTGCGCGTAAGCTGACCCAGACATCCACGTTAATTTGAAAAAAAGAAAGAAGAAAAAGATGCTTATTTGTTATAAAGATCCCAAGAGTCCATTCATACCTTTAAAGCAGGTGCGGAAAATGATGCTACCATCTATCATCGTATTCGCCTTCTTGAGGGCTAACAGTACTTCAACGTACCTCCTCAGCTTCACCCCGGTGATAAAAAATGGCTTGTGCGTGAGCATTTTGATCAAGCGGTCAACGTTAACCATTTTTTTCAAATATGGGACAGAGATCGAATTGAGGGTCTTGGAAAATAAGGGCCTATTAGAAACTTTTCAATCTAATGATTCAGGAACCGAATATCGCGAGAATAATGGAAGTCTCGCCATATGAAAATATAAGGCAGGAAGCCGACGCCTTCATTCAAGCGAAGGTTGCCTCCGTAGATAATCCCGGGGATGCTGTTCAGCGCAAGCACATAGAGAGGAAGCTGAATTCCTTTCTGCAAGAGTTAACTCAACACCAACGCCAGTCCTCCATTTATAGGAAATTCTATAAGCATTTCACTAATGAAGACCTTCGTCGCTTGTGTGGCCTGTCTTTACCGTGAAATAAACGGCGCTGGTCCTTTTTTAATGGCCAATGCCTGGGGTTTGGAAGCTTCTCGGCGAGGGGAGAGCGGGCGAGGGTATTTTAATATTAGATTTATATTTTATTGTATAAATAAACAACTTGATATTATATAAAATTAAAAAAAAAAACACTTTAAAAAATCATAATTGTTTTGAATGGATTTATAATTCTTTTGTTTTTTAAATAATATATAATATTATAATATACATTATTATTATAATTAAATATAATGGCCGGGCTGTCATCAGTCCAGAGTATTTGGGCTCTTTTTTTATGGTGGGCTGGCCCGCATGGGCCCATCAAAAACTTAAACCTTGGCTACTGCATGTAGAATTTATGCATGTCGTGGCCGGGGTGGGGTGTTTGGGTGAGAAATAGATGTGGTTGTCTTGCCTGTACGTGGGAGAAGAAAGACTGGAGGCATTCCTAGTACGATGGCTAGAGGTAGATCTTTAACGGTGGCTAGAGGTGATGGTATCACCGGAGGTGGAGAAAAGGAGGGAAGTGAGGCCGGTGGAGGTAAACATCATATTAACAAAATGATTTTTTACAAATTTTGTACGCTGATTTCTCCCCTCTCAAACAATGAAATATAAATCTATTTATTTGGGGTGGAAGAAAAATATTTTTTTTTTAATTGTATCAAATCTTGGCCTTTAGTTTAACTGCAAATAATTTTAATAGTTGGTTTAAAATGAATATTGTAAGCCGTCAAATCTAGTAGGAAAAAAGTTGGTAAGGTTGGTCATTTTAGACTATCATTATAGCTTATATGATTTATTTCAATTACATCCTTGATTATCTTAAAACTTTTAATTTTATGAAATTGTACCCCTTACGAGCTTCAATTTCAACCCCAGGATTTAGTGTTTTTTTCACATTAGTTTTTGGGTTCAGATTTATGCAATTTGACCCCCAATTGACCATTAAACTTTTAATTTCATCCCTAATTTCAATCAATTAGGTTTCTATCGTTCTACAATCCATTAGAACCTATAGAGTGATTTCTACAATGGTGGAATGATGATGATAAGGATGACTCAAAATAATTTTTAAATATAATTAAACTTTAATTTGATCTATAATTAAATCAAATTGGCCTATTATTTAGTCTTAGGCTTATTTTCTATATAGATTCGCCTAATAATCATTTAATTTTATCTTGAATCCGCATTGTTCTTTCAATCTTAGATATAATAGGGTATAATTAGGCTTTAAAGTACATCCAAAATTGCAGCTTAATTTTTCTATATGTTTGAAATCCTCATTAGTTTGGTTTCTCCATGTTGCCATCCTTTATTTTTTATTTTTTTATTTTGGAAAAAAATGAATTTGAAAAATAATCCAAAAATGAGTTATGATAATTACCCTCATCTTTACAATGCTTACAATAGAAAGTCTTATAAGAGACTTTAGATGTAAGCTTTGTAAAGCGAAAAAGAATGATAGATAACGGACTCACCATATCAAGAAATAATGAATCATTCTAAAAATATTTGAAATAAGGGATAGAAAAGCGCACTAAGAGGAAAAACCCAAAGGTTTTTCTGAAGTGGTAAAGTTGTACGAAAGAACCTACTTATTGAAGAAATTTAGAGAGTTTCAAAATGATTGAATTTTCATGAGTGACCCACTTAGGAAAAATAAAAAAGAGTTTGAAATGTGGTCTCATTGTAATGAGTAACTTATTTAGACAAAAAAATGCAAAGAGTTTTGAAAGTGGTGAAAAAAACAAAAGTTTTTCAAAGTGGTTTTATTATAATAGTTGACATGCCCAAGTAAAAAACACAAAGATTTTTCAAAGTCTCATTGTTCTAGACGACTTACCCGGGTGAAAAATGCAAAGATTTTTTAGAATGATATTATTGTAATGGATAGCCTACCCAGATGAAAAAATAAGACGACTTTTTAAGGTGGTGAAAAATGCGATAATTTTTCGAAGTAATCTTATTAAAATGGGTGATCTACCTATAGAGAAAAATACAATGAATTTTCAAAATGATCTTACTGTAAGGGATGACCATCCTAGAGAGAAAAATATAAAGATTTTTCAAAATAATCTTATTATAATAGGTGACCTACCCAAGTGAAAAAAATCAATACAAAGATTTTTTCATAAATTTGAATTAATGGATGGAATTTGAAACGAATAAAACTTTTACAAAATGGCAAAAAAAAATTGAAAATCTAAAAAATAAGGATCAACTATTAAAAAAAAAAAGAAAGTTATATCAACTTGGAATTTATAAATGGAATTGAAAACAAATAAATTTTTTATAAAAGGATCAAGAA